GAACAAATTTTATTCAAAAATTGACAGCTTTAACTGTTTATTAACTGTATGTTACAGTTATTATGACATACTGTAAGATACCGTTAGAAATGCACCGTAAATTTACAGCAATTTGTTACAGTGTAGCGCCAGCAGCGGGTCAGCGTTTTTTTCACTGGGCCCGAACACACTCAACACAAGACAACATTGTAACAAACATTGATGTTTTTGTCAGGATTATTTGTGATGATCTCTGCGTTTCCTTGACTTTTTTACAGCATCATCATCAAGCAGTTACTTTGTCAGGCCAGGCCGTAGTTTGTGGTTAGCTGTAATCTTGGAGGCATAATTTACCATTTCCTTCTTCAACATGGGATGCTCCCATGTAGTTAGACCCTTTCTGCTTTCCTCCAGACCCACAATCAGTTAATATCCCCTCTCGCAATCATATCCCATAGCAGCAGATGACCATGGAGGTTTGAGAGAACAGTCATGTTCCCAAGGGGAGGCACGCTTTTGATTTCACTCCATCCTGAAGGACAAACATCATGTTATTGCAGCCGACGTTCTACTTGACTATTAGCAGCGTTTTTTTGTCTCTGAACATTCACCCGAACTGTAATAAAGCGCCAAAACATGCCAACAACCCATCTGCATGTCTAACATGTAATCACACACACAAACACGCACACACAGCCAAGCTGCTCTTGCAAGAATAATATAATTGGACAAAGACGTTAGATATTCTCATCTCCCGGTGGAGATCTTTTTTCCTCCTGGCAGTGGTGAATAGATAATCCGCTCTGTAAAATACTCCTGTGGGTCTTCGCTCTCAACTGGAGCTGCTGCCGAACTGGTGGAGGCAGAATTCAAGGGTGCACACTCCATTTTCCACATCTCGCTGTGTCTTATCCTACTGGCCCAAGGAGGAAGAGCTGCAAAACAGCAACATGGCAGTAAGGCAATCAACTACACGACATAAACCGTATTCGTTACAGCATCCACAGATCTCGAGTAGTTTGCTCTCTCAAAAAGTTTTTCTCCCCCGGATCACTGATGTGACGCTGCGACGAGGCTTTCCTGCCTCCACAATAATCTCGGTTGCCCTGTGGATTTCTCTCCTCAGGCACTTGTTGGAGAAAGGAAGGAGGAAAAAGGAGGAGTGGGAGCAGGTGAAGGACCCGTCTTTGGCGTGGAGCCAATAAGCAGCCCGGTTCGAGCAAGGAAGAGGCCCTTGAGTGTCGACAGCCTTTCGGAGTGTCAGTTGAAGTAGCGAGAGTGAGGAATGCTTCAACACCTGAGAGCAGCACAACAAACTGTTAATCCTTTTGCATGCTGCTGTAGTTAGCCAGGTGACCTTGGCTCTGTGTGAGAGGGAAATTGCCGCAGGCCTGTACACCTCATGCTGGGAGATATTGCTGTTAGGTGCACAGACACTGCCGTTGAAGACCAACATGCACACTGCGTATTCAAAGCAATCTCATGTGCCAATCACTGTACCCAAAAGCTAGTGATATAAAGTCTACCAAAGACTCTTTTTCTGTAAGTTTTGAAATATATTTAAGCAATAAAGTATGAGAGAATGTACTTTATTGTCCAATAATGCAACAGTTCGGGGGTGTTGTTATAAATATACATATATAGCATTCCTGAGGAATGGGACTAGAGGCATCCAATACATTGAACTGTCAGTAATACCAATATACTGTTGAGATACTCGAGATACATTTGAGATACTGTGCCTCGGGAACCCTTTGGTTGGCATTACCGACTTCAGACTAGAGTAAAAAATCTGCTTTTATTTCATGATGTCCAATGGCAAGTAAAATTCTGAAAGTGCTGACTGCAAGCTGGACTGTCTCAAGCAAAATCTCCCCTTGATTCAAAGCAGATAGGTGTAATAAAAATGTTAACTCATTTGAAGGCACAAATCCTCACAACCAATTACCATAGAATCTATCATCCATTCATTGTTAATTGAACATCTCCAGGATATTGCAGAACGTTATTGATTGGCCTGTACGGAGCCTTCAGAGCAACACTCACAGCGTTGTATAAAAAGTACAAATCCAATCTATTTTTTTTTGCTTATTACGCACTGACATTATCTCCTACATTAAAATGTCATGACCTGGGCACAAAGGCATGCCTCTGAAAAACAAATCAGCCATGGCTGTCAATCAAACTATCTATATTACAAAAAAACGTTTGGAAACGTAACTTATGTGTTAGTTGACATGGAGTTGTTGATGAGAGAGAGAGAGAGGCGTCCATTAGCCGAGGTACACACATCGTCCTTTGTCACCACGGCAACACTAATTCAGCAGCGTCCGTCAGTGGGCGGCGACAAATATTAAGTGTGCTCTCCCTATCAGAACATCAAAATCATCTATGACTACTGAATGGTTGGAAGCTTTGAAGAAGTATTTATAATGTTGTTAATACATTTCACGGATATCCAGGCAATCTTCAGCACCATCAGGGCCCGTAGATCAAGCGCACCACAGTTCCTTTTAACCCCTCAGCCCACTCTTTTGTCCCATCTTGTTCAGGGGCTCATTCACTGAAGAGTGCCTCTGGATTCAGCTATTAGTGAATTTTACCACTTGTAAGGCTCAGTGGTTGAAGTAAGTGGTTTTCAAGTGCTTGTTCTGGATCGCTGATTGAGCTCATGCGTATGTCTAGACATCTCTTTCCCAATCAACCCAAGCAGCTGACGTTACCTCAATTAGCTAGTTGGCCAGCTAAATTGGAGCTGGTTAATAAACCTGATGTTTTGGTCCATGACTGACTGACATCAACAACCTATTCTTTATTATTAACTAAAGAGTTTCACATGCTAAATGTGCCTTGGTTTTCATAATTTTTCCAAAAACTCACCCCATTAAATATTAATTTCAATTATAGACAAATAAACTATTTGATGGCCTAAAAAGCAAGAGTTTTCCTTTCCTCTCCTACTTCAGGTTCATGACATATACCCTGTTTAAATGGAAATGAGAGAAAACACACAAAACCACAATGAAGGCATTAAATATTTCACTTTCAATAATATAACACAATATCCTGAGCCAGTGGCTATATCGGGTGCAAAACACCATGGCAACGCATGCCACCAGATTCAGCAGCACTATCACCACATATGTTCCGCAAACAAAGAAGGAAGATTTTATAGAGGATCACAAGTCACGCTCTATACAATCAGCCTACTCCCAGTTTAACCATGTTGTCTGTAGCACTCCCCACACACTCCCACACAAGACACATTACATTACATGTCATTTAGCTGATGCTTTTATTGTGTTGGGATGGAGGGTTTGACCATGTCGTGGATGAAGACTGGACCCGATCCATTCACATCATGGTACGTGAGCACCAATGTTTAGAACTGGATGCGGGCAGCCACCGGTAGCCAGTGAAGAGAGCGGAGGAGCGGAGTAGTGTGGGAGAATTTAGGAAGGGTAAAGACCAGTCGAGCTGCTGCATTCTGAATGAGCTGCAGAGGTCGAATGGCGGTAGCAGGGAGACCTGCCAGGAGGGAGTTGCAGTAGTCCAGGCGTGAGATGACAAGAGGCTGAATCAGTACCTGCGCTGCCTTCTGAGTGAGAAGAGAACGTGTTTTCCTGATGTTGTAGAGCGTCTATCTACAGGATCGTGTTGTTGCTGTAATGTTGGGAGTCAAGGAGAGTTTGCTGTCAAGTGTTACACCGAGGTTCCTAGCAGTCAAAAGTAAGTTGCCAAAGTAAACAGTCAGGTCCTGTGTAGGAGAATCTTTTCCCGGAAAGAGAGGTAGTTTTAGATGGTGGGCGGACATCCACTGAGAGATGTGTCCAAGTGAGGGAAGGAGAGAATTATTTGGGTGTCATCGGCATAGCTGTGGTAGGAGAAGCCATTCGAGCGAATGACAGCGCCGAGGGAGTTGGTGTTGAGAGAAAAGAGGAGGGGACCCAGGACGGAACCCTGAGGAACTCCAGTAGTTAGAGGACAAGGTTGCAGGATCTCCAGATTACCCGGCGGGGGCGGCCATCAAGGCAGGATAAGAGAAGGGAGAGAGCAGAGCCTGAGACACCAAGTTCCTGAAGGGAGGAGATAAGGATCTGGTGGTGTTTATGGTAATCGATTGAAATTGCAAGCAGCTATTTTGTTCCTGCGTGCATGTTATGTTTTGTTTATTTAATTGGCTCGTCAACTTCAATCCTAGGAATAATGCTGTTCTTTACACTGATTTTTCACTGTGAAGGAATCAAAGCAGCTTTAAACGCCTTAGAGGACTCCCCATTTAATGAACTTTATATATGGATAAAACAGAAACTATTACTCACGGACATTGTGAATCAATACGTGTGTGAGGATTTAGTGGAATGCGCAGGGGAGCCAAACAGTCCCCTCACTGATAAATCTGACCAACAGGTCTTTGCAGCCTGCAGGCTATTAGATTGAACCTTAGCGTGTGAGCTCATAGACAGACTGCAGTTAATCTACTCACCCGGCATCCCATTAGTGTGCTGCACTTGTGGAAACAAGTGATCTTAGACGGCTAGTCTACAAATCATTGTGTGGATCAAACGATGGGTTACTTCCTGTAAAGTTTTTACCATCATGAATAGTGCAGTGTAAAAAAAAAAAATTGAGGGTAGTAATTATGACCCATGTATATCATTGCAATTTTACTGGAAGTGTATGAGTGAGCAAACAATTGAAATATAATATATACACTATTTTTGAACAGTAAGGACTGAAGCCTGAATAAAATCTACAAAAGATTATTAGTTTGTTGTCCACCGTGAGCGTGCATGTAGGATAATAGTCACCTATTTCTATCTAATAATATAAGGCCACTGACATGACATTAAAGGGGCAGAGATGAATTCTTCATCTGGAAGGAGCAATCCTGCCGTGAGGGAGTGTGGGGGAGTGTGAGGGTGGGGGGAGGCTGGGGGGAGGAAGGGGGGCGCGAGGATGCCGAGGGGCGTAGCAGTGCTGAGCCCCTCGTGGTCACTGCTCAGGAATTGAGATGCTTGTATCTCATCGCCGCGGAGCCAGTAGCGGCGCACCGCGAGGACGGACTGCTCGCGCGCTCTCCTCCCTCGCACAATGACGCGCGGATGTGCATCTTCGAGGAGGCAATTCAAAAACAAAAAAAACATTCTCGGTGTCTTCCTGTAAAAAAAAAAAAAAACAACAACAACAAAAAAAGGCAATGGTGCGCTATTGTCAGGTTTCCCCTTAAATTGGACCCTCGCGCTCCGACCGGGCTGCTGCGTCGCTGTCGGTCCTCCGCGGAGCCGCCGCAGCGCACGGAGATGACGGGGCTCCACGTCGGGTGAGTCTCACGGCTGTATTCTACTCGCAGCCTTTACACGCAGCGCCTGGATAAACAGAGCAGCATGCAAGCCCTAAAGTGAAGGACTCCAGGTGTTGAACGGAAACTTTCTTTCTTCAAAAAAAAAAAAAAATGTTGTCTTATAAAAATAATTTGCTCAAATACGCGCATGTGTCATAGTACGCGTGCTCTTCGTTGTCTCTTGATCTATTTTTAAACAACTGCAGATGTGGTTGTAATTGATTCCACGGTTGATCCAGTCTCAACTGGGAGCATTATTGTCCATTTCTCTTGGTTATAGTTTCTTGGTTGAGAAAAAGCATTTTTCGTTTGGGGGGGGGCTGGTTTTCATCTCTTGGCTTTGGAATCTGTGGTGTGTGTGTGTGCGCGTGTGCGTGTGTGTGTGTGTGTGTGTGTATGTGTGTGTTGGGTTTACTCAGCTCTCTGACTTCAAAAAGACTGTGTAGCATCCGCCGTGCGTGGACTTGGGCAACTGTTGAGCGCAGAGCAGATGTGCAGAGGAGAGATATCTGTGCCAGTAGGTGTGTTCGTCCTGACGTCCCGGACGCGGCCTCATCCAACGGAGCAACACTGTCGCATCAGAGAAATCCTTTTATTTACTTAACGTGAATCACTGCGCGTGTCACTGTCAGCGTGACATCCCAGGATGAGTGAAGCCCGGGTTTAAAGGGTTACGCGTTCTGCAGTGGTCCCTTGTGCTGCTGTGCTTTCCGTGCGATGACACCTCACTCACTAATGAGGGTTGTTTTCCTTCGCCTGAAACCTCTCCTCGCCGTTTTAAATAATAAGCGACGGAGCACATTAGTGCAGCCGGTCCCTCGTCGCGTTGCCAATCAGATTGGATGGCGTGACCTTGGGGGATCGGGCTGCAGCGTTTAGCGAGGAGGTCTGCACGGATGGGCGATGGGGGGGTGGGGGGGGCTCTCTGGTGGCATCCATTAGGAAGGAACCCAATTACATCTGGAAATTGCGGTTGCTATAAGCAATTGCCGTTTGTTAGTGATTTGATCGAAATGTGTCTCATCCCTGATAACGTGCTCTTCAGTCGGCCTTCACTGCGTGCTGTCTCATACGTGCCATTTAAAAGATCTGCTCGATTCCTCCGAGAGGAACTCCACCGTGGGCTCCTTCTTAACAATGGAGCACAGAAGAAGCAATGAGTCACCGTGAACAACGGAAACTCTCACCAGCTGGCAGCCAGACAAAGACAAGGCAAGGAAAAAGTCTGATGAAACCGCAGCCGCTTCCACTTCAAAGCACGTGAACGTACGGCGTTCCACGAGGAGGCCCAACGTCTTAGTGCAAGTTCCTCTAACGATCCAACTTTCGGTTTTAAGATCCCTCCCACGAGGCGCTTCATCCCCCCCCCGGTCGGTCTTTAGCTGCCATGGAGTAGAGGCTGAGATAAGTCAGCAATCAGTTATTCTGCTCTGGCATTCGGACTCGGAGGAATCCCCGTGGCTCACCAGAGACCCAATCAGACCCTCTAAGTGCACCGCTTTGCAGCGAGGTCCTGCAGCATGTAAAAGTATATTTCACTAATAGTTAGTGTCTTTTTGTTCAGGCCTCTCTGCCTCTTTACAGTCCTCCCCGTGGACTTCTCCCTTCCTTTTTGATTTGCCCTCTGTTTCCACTTAACAGTCCTGGCAGCGCTCCAAGAGACACCTCAGCACCGTTCCTCTTCTTCTCTCTGTTTTTTCTTCTTCTTCTTCTTAAAGCACGAGCGGGTTTCCCACCCTCTGCACACACGTGCACAACACGGAGCTTTAACGCCACGGCATCCAGCCGCACGTCGGCTGCATCCCACGCCAGGATACCGGGGATGTTACGAGACGGCGGTTTTTATTTTAAACGACTGCTTCCGCGACAAAGATAGCCGTGCTGTGATTACCCCCCCCCTCCCTTGCCCCCCCTCGGCGCAATCAGAGACTTCAAGGCAACACATCACTCAATTAGCCTCGTCAAATTAGCACGTGGCTCTTTATCTGCGACTGCTTTCCTTGATGCGGTTTATTGGCAGGTGCCTTTGGAGCGGCGGAGTCCACACAGATGGTGCTTTTTTCGGAGTGGGGGGGGGGGGGGTGGGAGCATTATGTAGGAACGTAATGTGCCGCGCGGCAAAAGTTTCCTCCTAATGGAGGGTACCTTCACACATCTTAACACCCCCACACCCCCCGGGAGACGCCCGCCTTTTGCCTCCCTGTCGACCGAGACCTGAGCCCCGCAAGGATTTGGTTGTTTCGCGGGTAAAGCTGAGACCGCGTCCCCTCGCTGTCCTATTTGGTTTTCTGGTGCCATCAGTTAAGCCGAGAGCGTGTGCATCGCTTCCCGCGTCATCATTTTTTTTGTAAAAGGCTTCTGAATCTTTCATTCTCCTCGATGTCCCGTTGACGGGCTGGTTGTATAGACGCCCGTGTAAAGAGAAACGTCTTCATTCCCTATGGAGACTGAAACAAACTCGTCGTACACGTACACCGTCACTCTGCAAGGCTATTTCCTGTCTCTAGTTGCTTGGTTTGTCCTCAGTATTATTTGCCAACCATTTTGTCAGTAGGTGTGACATGTGGGTTTATTTGAAGGATAGGCTAATTGTTATGCCCCCGGAGGTCCATTGTTAATTAGAAGTTATCTTGGGCAGCCCTCACATGGTCACTGCTCTAATTGGCAGTGAAAGCTGGGTACCACCTGGCCTAGCCTTTAACTCACCGGGTGCTCCGGGCAGAAAAATAGAACAAAAGAACGGCCTGGGCGTTAAGTGAGTATGGCCTCTTAAAAGGAAACTGACATAGAGAGAGAGAGAGAGGTAGGAAACGAGGAGAGGAGACACGATGTGTGCCGATTACCGATGTACCAATTCTGCAAAAATGGTGGTTTATTTGAGGTTTTTTGAGCCGAACAAGTCTTTGGAAGCAGGCGTGAATAAAAGAAAAAGGTTCAGAGAAATAAGTGTTTATCATCACGCCTCTTTGTGTTCAGATTTCTAAAACCTCTGGGATGTTCGGTGGCGCCACATCAATTCTCCCCTCCGCCCGTTTGTTTACCTGGTGTCACGTGGGAAGGAAATAGTGGCGGGCTCGTCTATGCGCAGAATTTTTTAAAAAGTCATTTCGTGCTTTTTATCAGCATCTGTCAATACGGGGTATGATGATGGATGATGGGGGCAATCATGTCAACTCTATTCTGCCATTCACGAATGTGAAAATCGATTCAAGCGGAACGTTTTTTTTTCTCCCCCTGAAAGAGAATCCGGTCTGTTCTGCAGTGCAGTCAGAGGAAAGGCAGAGATTTAATCCAGGGACGGTGCAGCTGCTTTTCACGGGAGTAACCTGAACACGGTGAGATTCTCCCACAACGTGCACCGGCTGAGGGCTCGCGCTGGGGGAAAGTCCACCCGGGGACCTCGGTGAATCCGAGCTGGCCGGGCCCCCCCCCCGGGACCATGGGAATGTTTGCTTGTGTTAAGAAAGCGCAGACAGGTGCTCCGCGTACGGCACAAACAACCCTCTTATCAACAGCGCCTGGCATCGCTGTGCCCCGGAGGACAAAAGACCTTTGTCTCCCCACGCACACAAAGTCAATGGGGTCCTTCTGTCCTGGCCCCCCCTCCGGCTTCTAAAGTTCAAACCAATTCCCAAATGCGTCCTCCGTTTGTTCTCCGATCACAATGCGGAGCGGATTCAGGCAGTGTGCACCTCCATGGGAGGAGTGCTTGTGCACACGTGTAACTCGGCAACGGCGACAATAACTAGTGACCGACCCTCAAACTGAGAAAATATATAGAACGACAGAGAGGCCACAAGGAAAGTCTGCCTCGTGCAGACTGACGATAACAAACAGGCCTATCGCAGCTGTAATTGGAGACAGCAGATTCATTACTTTCAATGATGCTCCACTGCTCCACTACCATCGTTAATAACCGTTCATTAATTAAACATAGGGTGGAAAAAGAGCAGCTCCGTTTGGCGAAAAAAGGACTTCTCAATGACCGGAGCCGAGTGTGGCTTCATTTTGCTCTGGAGGTCATTCCAGAAATAATGAGGGGGGGAGAGAAAGGTAAATACTCCTCTCTGCTTAACTGCCAGGGAGCTTACAATACCTGAGACAAGCCAAGTATGACAGTCAGCCACATAACGAGCTGCTTATTCTCACACAAGCAGGACGGAAGTGAAAAAGAGGCTGTTGGGGTTTTTTTCTCCCGAGTCGTTGCTCATTGTGGCCTTCAATTTAGCCTTTTTGCAGTAGTTTTAGGGGAAACTTCCCGAGCGTTGGGTCATCTGGAGTTAAAGAGGTAACGTCACGTATTGGCCTATCGATTTGTTACATAGACATGAAGTGTAGGGCAGCTTTGCCCTTTACTGACTTTTCGATTACTCGGAACAAATTATTGAAACAGAAGCAGTAAGATCTAAGTCTGTTTTAAGCATCTACAATCAGAGTTCCTCGGCGAATGTTATTCAGGCCCAAGGATCGGCCCTGCATCTCTCTAATGCACGGAAAATGATCTAGCATTAGATATTGATTTTCTCATTCCACAGGGGGGGAAAAAAAGGATATAACTTTTTTTTCCAGTGTTGAACTCGTCCAAAAACTCTTGTTTACGCATTCACAGGGGGCTATGATGCTGAGAGTGTGTTATTGCTCCATACTACTACACTGGATCCGTTTGAATTCACTGCACGGTGTTTCTGTGTGTGCCTCATCAGAATGCACGTACGTCTTCATCGGAGCACCACACACATGCTAGTTGGCTTCCATAATGGTTATGAATAATTACTGTCTTCAGTAATTCCGTAATCAGCGTTGGAGGTACATCTGGCTGCCGTCTTTTGTGAATACACCATGAATATCGGAAGTCCGCAGGCTCTGTCTAATTCTCTGCCTCTTATTGCCTCGAAGGCTGAAATGAAAACCAATTATATCGAACCTGATTTTTGTCTCTTTCATTTTCTTTAGTAAACGTCAAATCAATGATGAGCTAA